TATCTATCAACCAAACAATGTTATTCGGATGTTCTTGAAGTAGCGAAAGTCCTAAAGTCTCAACTCGCGCATCTCATCAACTATGACCGTCTGGAGTAGTGAATAATATAGTTTAGTTAAGTTTAGTGAAAGAGTAGGATACGGATATGTGCTGGTTTTTAACTCGTGGATATGCGTAGTGCTTGGATCATCGTTAATTACCATAATATGATTGAAAAGCTACTATTTTGCTTTCAACTAGTGATATTACTTTAGAGTATAGGAAAGGCTAGGGTTAACTTCTACTAAGGATCATATGTAAGGATCAATTAACAAAGTCAGATACATTTTCAAATACAAATAATGTATATTTCCCTTTGGCTCATTCAGTTTTTTTTTAATCAGATCACGCATTTATTAAGAGCGAAATATGCCCATTGTCAATAAGGGGGCAATGACCTAATATGGACTATTGAAAACTCTTTACTTCGAATATTTCCCTTGCTAAAATACTTTTGAGCTCCTTTTTTTCATAAAGTTTGAAGATTTTACCTTTATGATTGATACAGTGTGTTTTCAAAAAAAGTGTATATTTTGAAGCAAAATGGTGTCACGTGTGTCGTTAAAAAGTGCAGTTATCTATACCGGCCTTGAGGAATTGACTTAGATATATACATATATATATATTCTATCGTAGCTTTTTGTCGACGTAACTTAGCTATGTTAATTTTTTTACCGTGATTATTGTCTGTTCGGTATTCCATCATCCAAAGATCCATCAAGAAGCAGAATATAGCAACAACCATCTTCACTGCCATCATAATAGTTTGATAGTAGAGCGAGACCTCGTTGCAGTGACTTTTCGTAGTAATAGGCAAAATTTTGCGTCTTAATCATGAATAATTCATGCAAGTCACAGAGCACAACGCTTACTAAGGTGCAAAGTCCGCCGCTCGCTTTGACTTAACTGTCTATACTATCTTATTAATAATTCATTAGGCTTTTACATAAACACTTCCTATTTCAACTCATATCTAGAAGATGTTGTTAGCTACGCTTCGACTGACAAAATGGGAATCAAGGGTGACATAGCCGCTTGTAAACTGGTCGACGTTTTGCTGCCATATAATGCTCAATAATGACTGTTATTATTGCTAATTTGGCAGCGCGATGTTCAAATTATAATACCCAGGGCAAAAAAGTATTACTGAGTAAATAGTTGATGCTAAACAATAGACAAAGATGCTTTAAAAACTCTTCTTAATTATGTATAGATGAGGTTAGGCTTTGTCTTTTGAATGACTTTGTCTTTTAGGCTGGAACGGCATATTTTGAATTCGCTTTCGGTATTTTTGTGTTTCCCTCGCATGCACGGGATCTATTTTTAGCCAAAGGGTCAATTAACGGGCGTTCGGGTTCACAGGCAGTGCAAAACTGTTGTCACGGGCAACTTTGAAAAACCGGTTCATGCGGAGAATAATCCGTTTATCATCTTTCATACTTCTAAAAATGACCTGCCGCATATAAAAATTCNAATATTATCCCTTTAGCTATCTAGCACTACTGCCTGCATTCATGAGAGGATTGTCAAGACAAAGCTCGAGAAAATAGAAACACACATTTAATCG